AGAGCTATCACTCATCATGACAAGCATATAAGAGCTATTTCATACTGCTCAGGAACCATAGCCAAAGCTGTTAATGTGAGCATTTTGGACATGTGTTTTTAAAGTCAGTAAACCATCAAAGACACAATGTTTAAAATCACTGGAGTTCCAAGATAATTAAATGTTTGCTTTTAAAGTATAAGGCTCCAAGTGAGACATAGGTTTCTCATTTTGTGACCACAAGCCATGTTAATTAAACATAATGCAAGACCCTTCCACAGGTAAATAGATAAACATACAAGTAGATTTTGAGGCCATTCTTTTTTGTTTGTTTGTTTGTCTTTTGAGACAGAGTTTCTCTGTATTGTTTGGAGCCTGTCCTAAAACTCCCTCTGCAGACCTGGCTGGCCGAGAACTCATAGAGATCCGCTTGCCTCTGCCCTCCCGAGTGCTGGGATTAAAGGTGTGCACCACCAAGCCAAGCAATGTTGAGGTCATTCTTAATTGCTTTACTCAATAATATAGCAATTATGACTCTAATATTCTAAAAATCATAAAAATAAACAACATAAAAATCAACACTGTTTTTTATTTATAAAATAAAATGTTATATATTCAACACTTCAAAATTCTTTACTTTGCTATCCTGCAGTGGAACTGCTATTCTACTGTCTTGTTCATGTAAGAAACCTGAAGTATAGTTGTGTATCAAGATTCTTATAAAATTTGGTGTAGGAATAGTATTTCATTTCAGTTTGTTTACATTTCATTTTCTGAGGTTATGCCCAGCAGATTCATGTGTAATTGTTCAGATGACATCAATCCTGTTGGAGGGAAATGTGTGCATCACTATTCCCTTCATTTGTGTGTTGCAATCCATTATATATCCCTGTATTTCAAATTATAAAAACCCCAAAAGAAAACTTGGAAATTGAATTTCAGGAGCTCTGATTGCCCTTGAGATATCTGTGGCTGAAAGAAAAAATTCCCTTCTATCTATGGGAATTTAATTTATCAGAATTTAAATTATGGGAATTTAAATTAACCCATTTTATTAGTACCTTGTTTGTTTTTTTTTTTTTTTAGTCTATCTTGTTAAACATGGGAATATTTGAAGCAAGGTGAAAAGCACATCTTATGCATAGAGGATGGGTGCTCTAATCAGCCTTTTCATATGACTATCATCTCACTAATAATATAACTAGACTAAAGCAAATAAAAAAAACAGAGGGATTAAGATTGAGAAATAATATAAGGAAGTGAATCCTGTTACCCAAAAGACTTCTTCCTGTCCTTCAGTCATGAATAACTGCTAAGCTATGTGGGCCAGGGACATTTGTTGTCTAGAATGCAATATCCCAGCCTGATGTCTATACCTAAGTGAGTTCTCTACTATTTCAGACGATGCTGATTGTGTCATTATGCTACAAATAATACATCAGAGGCATATAAAGGCCATATGACAGAGAAAACCAACAGATAAAAAGCATTTGGGTTATTTTTCTTGGTAACCATTTAACGTACTTTTTAAAATTTGTAAACTAAGTTTAGGTGTGTTTCTTTGTAAAGTAAAGATGAGGGCAGATTATTTGAATGACTAAAAATATTATACATTTTAAAATCTAGCTTTAAACGCATGGATGTTGTCAATTGATTTGAGTTTGAATTTTTAATAAAACTAATGGTGCTAATACAATAATAGAGCATGCATCCAGTATATATTGGAAGGACTGCTACACTCTGCTTAATGCCTTGTTTTGTTATAGTTGACTTTATGTATGTTTTAATATGTAAGCAATTTTTATGAATATGAGTTTCAAATACATAATCCTTAAAAATTTAGATTCAGATTAATTATTTCATTATGTATTTCATTACATTACTGAAAGCATATGCATTTATGTGTGTGTATATATGTTATATACACTACCTAATACATATATGTGTGTTCATGTGTGAGTGTGTATTAAATAAACTAGTAAATAAATTGGGAAATCTATATTGTTTTATGAGATTTTAATAAGTGTGATTCTAAAGGCAGCAAATAATTTACTAATTATTAGAATGATTCATGAAACAACTGGAGTGAAAAGAGAAAAAGCTGAAAGTGTGTTTCTGAAGGTAGAAAGTTACAGAAGGCAAATTGTTTCATTAAGAATAGAAACAGTATTAAATGATAAATTATAAATTTGAACAATATCAAAATGTTTGTTATATTTATTATGGAACTAATTGTTTTCTTAACTTATTAGGTGTTATATGATTTTTAAAATTTCAATATGATATATCTCAATAATTTATGAGTAGAAATTATGTTATAAACTCAGTGGTTGGTTTAGAGTACAGTGTCTATGACTTACATTGACGATGACACACATGTTGTTATTGTGAATATTAACAGTCAATTTTACAGACTCTGCACTCAGAAATTTCCATAAGGGCTTGTTAGACTACACTGACCAATGGGCATGCCTCTCGGGAACTGTACTGACTACATTAATAGAAATGGGAAGGCCAACCCTAATTGTAAACATCAGACAATTTTCCAGAACTGTCAACCTGGATGGGATAAAACAGAGAGAATAAACTACACATATATATCCATTGCTCTCTTTTATGTGTAGACATAGTGTTACCCATTGCTTTATGCTTTGCTGACTCAACTTCCTGCCATGATGGCTGTATCCTCTAATATGAGCTAAAGTAGGCCATTTCTCTTTTAATTCTTTGTTCACAGTATATTATCACTGCAACATTAACAGAAAGTAAGATATACACCTAAAAATTTTGTTTGTTTGTTTGTTTTGTTCCACCCTAGGTTCCAAATTCTGGGTTTTGCAAAGGCTAGGATTATGCCCTGCCACTGAGCTAAATCACACCTAAGTAAGTTTCCTTTCTATTTTCTATAATTTTTAATGGAAATAAAGTATATACTATATACAAAGTATAAAAAATACCATGTATGCTTGACTTCAGTACTGTCAGTGATTCATTGAAGGTCTCTGTTTGATATAATTTTAACACATGAATAAAACCAACGTATTACATTTATTTTAAGTTCAAAATAAAAATTACACTTCCATTTAGAAGGGCAATTAACTCCTACCAGTACATGATGCATTTCATCTGGGATTGTATTTTATGAGTTGCTTTCATACTAGGCAGAACTGATTTCATATAAACTCATTTGAATTGTGGCCTCATTTTAGAAACTAACCTGAACCTAGTCATTCTTCTGCTCATCTTAATTTTAAGTATTTACTTTTAAGAATTGGAAATTATTTAAACAAGTCTTCATTATTAATGACAACCAAACATATTTTTAGAACTTACATAGCATTGGACTCTTTATCAAGACAATGAAATACCCTGTATTATTTAATAACTTACCATATGTTAATTAATAATACACCTATTAGCTTTCTGATAAAGTTTTTGCTTTGTTTTATTTTAATTTTTAGATATTAAATAGATTTTTTCAGACTAGAGCAGAATAATTTCAAAAACACTCAATAAATAACTAACGATGAATATAATCAGTAACTCTCTTAAACATAAAAGCAATAGAATATGACATACTTCCTGACCTTATATTTTCAAATTGAACAAACTAAATCTCTCAATGGGGGTTATTTTAATCAATGCAGGTAACTCCTCAATATAATATCTCATTTTTGACAGAAAATGAGAGTGTAAAATGTATTTTGAACTGTTAGATAATTTTATAACAACACAACATGCCTTTTATTAGTAACACATCTGAAGCTGGAAAAGAATCTCAAGAGTCTAGTTCAGGAGTTCTGGAGAAGTTGTATTAGACTTTTGCATGACTGATGCCTACATACTTCCTCAAGACAGTGTAGTGTTAGGAGCCTCTCTTCTTGTCTTTATTCTGCAGAGTAGGTACATGTGCAAACACAAAGGAATGTTTTGCTTATCTTTGTTGTATGTGCTGACTGCGAAGGGTTCTAGGCTTAAACTAATTCTGAAAAAACACTTGGATTCATTTCTCTAAAGAATTATGAAGTAAGGTGGCTTGTGTTGGTTACTAAACAAATATGGTATTAATCCAAATACATTATAAAATGTAATTTTTGTTTTTATAGATCATGGAAAAGCATAAGCTAAAGGGTTTTGAATTTCACACTTTAAGTTCTAGTTTTGAGGAAGAATAAAAAACTATGGAAAAAAACTTTAAGCCCTGTAACATAGTTTCAATTGCTGCATGATTGTTGTTAGAAGCAAATGCAAACTCTAGTGGTCTTAAGTAGCCAAAACCTTAACATTAACCAGTTATATGACATGAAAATTAAAACTATAATTATGTACAAATTTATCAAATGTATAAATATATAAAAATTAATGCGGTTTATATAATCTACTTTTATCATTTTTCTAAACGAAAAATGCATTTCCTACTGCTAGGAAATGCACATGACTTTATCACAGAATTTTAAGAAAAGACAATTGGCTTTCAAAAAATCTTTGTGACAAAATGTTTTTAAAATCCATATTTAATTTTGCAATGGAGCACAAAAATGCATATAGTCATAGATTATGAAGATTTTAATTAAAAATATATCTACATCTAAATTTTAATACTGTTTACAACAAAGTATAAAAACTCAAAAAACATAATGGAGTTCATTGTTATTATGGTAGCAGTAAAATTCTGAATCTTCAGGCTCAATTATAATTTTAATTACAGCAGAAGAAAACTAATTTTCAATAATTTGGACTCCTTTGAGATTTTGATTAAAAAGACAAATGCCTACCTACTATGCTTGCAGCTTACTGACACAACCAGCATGTTGTCTGCCCCAAAAGGCAGCATAATCCCTGGATAAGTGTTTGTGACTCTTAACGGAAGCAGATTCCATAGAGTAAGTGGGTGTGACTTAGAAGTTTGTGAATCTACAGCACCCCAAGAAAGCAAAGAAAGTAGATTGTGACTTTTGACAATTATTAGTTAGAAAAAGAGGTAACAATTGCCAAAAAAATCACAAAAGTGATCATGTTACCTGGCTATGACAAAGAGCACACAACTGACACCCAAGTAAGCCAGCAGAATATACATCCAGATATCAGGGGAGAGAGGATTCAGGAAGGAGAAGACGCCCGGGTTTGTACCATTGGGCTTGCGGTACAAAATACTTATTCCAAGGGTCATGAATGGCTTGGAAAAGTCGATGACCTTCTCTCGAACATAGGTAATAGCCAGTGGAGCGACTGCGAGGTCAGCTTTCTGTACAGAGAAACAGAAAAACAGGAAAAGAATGAAAAAATGGTTCTAAGTCACAACTAAAACATCTGTAACTAAAGATTTTACACATGAGAATTTCTGTAAAGATTATGTTAACATCCAAAACGTTCTTTAATGAGAGGATTCACTTTTTTGTAAATTACCCACTGCTATGTGCTTCCAGATTACTGCTACTGCCTTGACTGGTTACAAAAGGAAATAAAATCTTAGTATAAAAATAAAAAATGAAACTATTGTTACACAGTAAATTAAATCATTCATAATGAAACTTTTCATAATAGCTTTTAATATAAGTATTAAAAATTCAGTTTTATCTATTATACTTGCTTAAATATATTGATAGAACTGCAAATGTAGTGATAACTATATGAAACTATTTTCATTTTCGCTCTGCAGGTACAGACACTTGCTACCACACCTGACAATCTGACTTCCAATCATGAAACTACATGGTAGGAATAAAGAAGAGACACCCAAAAATCATCTTCTGACTTCCATATGCATGGAACCAACACTCATACACAGACATGATCATACATTTGCATACACATGCACACAAGAATGTAAAAAATATTTTTTCAAAACTGTAGAAGAGTTCAGCTAAAACATTCTATAGTTTCCTTTAATCCACATAAATATGTGTGTTGTGTACTACCCCCAAAGTTTTATTTCTATTCCTCTAATTTATTTTATATAATTTAATGAAAATCTGCAAAGACTTGCCTAAATAACATTAGAAAATGAGATTTTCTTTTTCATTTTTGTTTTTTCCATATTTTTCCTTTTATTGAAAGTATATTTTTTTCATACATTTTTATCCTGATTATAGTTCCCCTCACTCTACTCCCCCCATTTCCTCCCCAACCCTGCCCTTTCCAGATCTTTTCCCTTCCCATTTCTCATTAGAAAAGAATAAGTTTTTAGGAGAGAACAATCAAATATGACAAAATAAGATTTTTAATTTTTATAAAGTTGTAAATTTCCATGTCATCTTAAATCACTAATGTTTTAAACTCATGTTACAGTCAGGGTGGGAGGATGCTCTAAAAATTGCAGGAAGTCATGATATTCTAATATACTTTGGGATGTCATTATATTATTCTAATGCAATTTGGAGTTCATTATAGTATTCTAATGCATTACAGAGTGTTATTATAATTTACTAATTCGGTACAGGAAGTCACTGTAATATTCTAATATGTTGTAGGATGTCATTATTATATTCTAATGTGATAAAGGTATCTATTCTAACAATCTATATTCACAAAGAGCTTTAAGAAGCACAAACATTCATTTTAGAAAGCAAAAGAAAAAAATATATATATTATATATATGTAATTAGTTTCTCCAAAGTACTTTTGTTGACAATATTATTCTGTGAGTTATTGTATGCTAATAGATTATGAACTATGGAACATTCACTTGTTTTGAAAGTAGCTTCTCCAAGAACTGAGGAAACAAAATGTGTTTCAGAGTTCCTCTAAGGTTTAATGTTCATATATCAGGGAAATACCAGCTTTAGAATAATTATTGCTATGTTATTTAATTATTTTTCTGTAGCTCAGGTATTATATTAGGAGCTTCATATGAATTTTCACATTTAATCATCATAGAAATCCACTATTAATACTTTTCTGAGAAAGGAAAATGAGTCTTAATAACTTAGAAAGTATATATATTCATATGTGCTGAATCCAGCAATAGAACAGGCTACACATAGATTCAACTGGAACTTATTCTTGGGACATACCAATACCATGTATCTAGGAAACCAAAAAGGAAATCACAGAAGAGTTAGTTGTCACCCATTCATTCACAAGAATTTCTAGACTGGGGAGATCAAAGTCTACAGAAATTAAGAGACTGGGTACAGGAAGTTCTTTTATGTGATGGACAAAGAAGGGAAGGAAATAATGTCTGAAGGAACAACATATCAAAACTGTTAAAGAAAGAAAATGATAATTTAAGGAAAAGAGGTTACATTGGCCAGGTGTCGGTGGCACATGCCTTTGATCCCAGCACTTGGGAGGCAGAGGCAGGCAGATCTCTGTGAGTTCGAGACTAGACTGGTCTACAGAGCAAGTGTCAGGATAATAGGCTCCAAAGCTATACAGAGAAACCCTGTCTCAAAAAACCAAAAAAGAAAAAAAAAGAAAAGAAAAGGAGGTTACAGGTAAAAAGAGTGGACCTTGGCATCTCCTGACTTGTAGGAGGTGAAAACACGCTATACTTTATTTATGTATCAATTCACTTTGATACCTCACATCCTAGGCCAATGAAAAGATAACATTTATAGCTTATAGAGTATGTAACTCAGGAGGCTTTAAGGTACTGAATATTAGTATGTTTGCAAGTAAAACTACATATGTTTTTGATAGTATGAGATGATGTTTACATATATGGGTACAACAACTATATCTAGTCAATTAGCTTATTTCATATATTACCACCAGAAATCTTTCATTCATGCTGAGAATATCTCAACATGAAACAGAATTACAATATTATTCATAATACCTAGTCTGTAGGCATATATTACAAGACTCGACTTCATATACATTTAAATTTACTTAGTAGCCCAGAGGTGGTGGCACATTTGTTTAATCCCAGCATTTGGGAGGCAGAGGCAGGGAGATTTCTGTGAATTTGAGGTCAGCTTGGTCTACAGAGCAAGTTCAATGACAGGCTGCAAAGCTACAAAGACAAACCTTGTCTTGAAAACAACAAACAAACAAAAAATCTTACTTAGTATTTGATTCTAAAACATAAAAGAGCAAAACACATCCAAAATTGCATTTAAGCCCTGCCTAAGGGCATGTTATCTGCAGAGATAATCAAGATGGGGCCTCACATCTTCATGTGGTATAGGAGTGCATACATCCTTGCTGTGGTGTCAATTGCATTGTCCCTGCTATTAATAAAGTGACATACAACTAAAACACTTTGATTGATGCTGGAGCATTCAAAGGAAGCATCACAGGATGGCATTTGCCCTCTTTGTGGTATAGAGTGACAAGTCTCCTTGACTAATATGTTCTGCCATATGAATATGAGAAAATTCCACAAAAGACTGATGAGAAGAGAATATATTCCAATTCCTGAAACTATCCCCTACATGTCAGGTACAAAGGCCAACTACGACAATGCTCCTATGACCCTACTCTCTCAGTAAGACATGCTATCTACCTTAAGCTTTCTGTTGAGAAATAAAAAAAAGAGCTACCTACTTACAGGAGGAACTACAATGAGAAAAAAGACATTTGGACACTCTTTAACACCAGACTCAATTAGTAGTAAAAGTGAGAAAATGTATGATGTGATGGAAGTTGTAGTTTTCCATGTCTTACAGGTGGAGGGAGATTAGGAAAAGAGAAGACAAAGAAGGTCAATGCTGGGGACAGAGATCCATGGGAGTATTGAACAATGAAGAGGGATAAAATATAGTAGAAAAGGTAGGAAACACATCTGAGCTTAGGTCTAACTGATATGAAGGCAAAATTCATCATTCAGAAAACAGATAGGGGCCTTGAATGTTCTGCAACTGAACTATGTGGATTCCGGAGGATTTTAAACAAACATTTAAAGTGTACCTAACAAACTGGCAAATGAGGTTATAAAACAATAGATCAATATGTCTGTTAAGAAAATGAATAAGTAACAACCCATGTTTCTTTAACAAAAATGCTGCATAACCTGAGGCAGTCTGAGGAAATCAGAGTCCAATGGATGGGTTCAAAAAGAGCATTAATGACAACTGGCTCCGACCAGCTGAGGCCGTCATACATAAATATAAAGAATTGAAATGATAGAAGAAATAAAGGTATCACTGATGAAGTTAGACAACATGGAGCTCCTGTTTGATGCTTATTTCATTGTGTCACAGAGAATCGTGTTCACAGAAAGTTCATTCACAGCATCTGCAAGATATGGTCTTAAAGAAGGACACTAAACTTTGGTAAATGGGAAAGTATTAATACGATGTAAGAGCATCTTTAAGATGTGGGGGTTAGTGAAGAAATTTTCCCATTCTGTATGTTGTGGTTTTGCCTTACTGACTGTGTCCTTTGCCGTAACGAAGATTCTCAGTTTCAGGAGGTACCATTTTTTAATTATAGATCTCAATGTCTGTTACAGGAAGCTGGCTCCTGTAACAATCCATTCAAGGGTATCTCCCAGTGTCTCTTCTAGAAGGATCAGTGTGGCTGGATTTATGTTGAGGTCTTTGATGCATTTGGACTTAAGTTTTGTGTGTGGTGGCAGGAATAGATCTATTTGCAATCCTCTGCATGTCTGAATCCAGCTGTGCCAACACCATTTGTTGAAGATGCAATCTTGTTTTCCATTGTATAGATTTAGCATCTTTGTCAAAAATAAGGTGTTCATAGTTTTGTGGGTTAATATCAGGGTTGACAATTTGATTCCATTGGTACATCTGTCTACTTTTGTGCCAATACCAAGCTGTTTTCGGGACTATGGCTCTATAATAGAGTTTGAAGTCAGGGATGGTGATGCCACTAGAAGTTTCTTTATTGTACAGGGTTGTTTTGGCTATCCTGGTTTTTTTTTTGTTTTTGCATATAAAGCTGACTGTTATTTCTTCAAGGTCTGTGAAGAACTGTGTTGGGATTTTGATGGGGACTGTGTTGAATCTATAGATTGCTTTGGAAAGATTGCCATTTTTACTATGTTGAACCTACCTATCCAAGAGCATGGGAGATCTTTCCATTTTCTGGTGTCTTCTTTAATTTCTTTCTTTAAAGTTCTTACTGTACAGGTCTTTCAGGTTTTGGTTAGTGTTACCCCAAGACATTTTATGTAGTCTGTGGATATTGTGAAGGGTTATGTTTCTATGATTTCTTTCTCATTGCAATTATCATATGTTTATAGTAGGACTACTGTTTTTTTTTTTAGTTAATTTTGTATTCTGTTAATTTGCTGAAGGTGTTTATTAGTTGCAGTAGTTCCCTGGTAGAGTTTTTTGG